ACATACCAAATGATTTTTTTTTTATTTATAAGTTCGACCCTATTGATATTTTTGTGCTGTTGTTATTGTGTTATAAAATATATACACTAAAGTTGTATAACAGATATAGTTTTTTATCGAGAAATAGAAATGTGCGTGAACTCTAATAGTGGTAACATAAAGTCTCACATTTACCTATTACAATTATTATATGCACAATTTTAATAAACTTTTATGATATCACTTTAATTATTATGTCAATATATTTTTATATTCAACATACCTGCGACAATGGGCACCGTTAAAAACAAAAACAGAAAGTTCATATTCGTGGTGTTTTCTTGCCTACAGTTAATGTTAGATTATTTCTAACGGTCTATATAAGTGCGCTTATCAAGCATTAAGAATGTACTTGTACGAAATTTCGTAAACGTCAAATACAAAAAAGTGCTGTATGCTTTTCAAATAACTAATTGTTTTATTTTTTATTGCGTGACGATTGATGTATTTTTCCGATCATTAAAAAATATGCAACGGTGGATTTTATTTTGGATTTTTATGTGGTTTTGGATGCTGTAACGTTACATAACAGTTGGTTGTTTTCTCATATGTAAGCACCAAAATTAGAAGAAAAAAACATTACTCTGTATGTTTTCACTGTTTCATAATGGAAAGTCTTTATCTTTACGAATTACAAATAAACCTTGTCCATCGTAATAAAAGACTTAAGGGTAGAAAATTTACCTGGTGATAAACCAAGTCGAAGAGCTGAACATGGTAAAATAAACATTTGGAAATGATTTAATGCATAAAATCTAGGAATTGTATAAAGTTCCTAGGAAATGTATAAAATATTGTTTTAAAATTTTTTTAATACACATATTATATCCTGGAAAATGTATACATTTTCTGGGAGTTCTATGAATTCCGATATTGCACTATAAAATGTATAAAACTAATGCTTTCTGTGAATAAAATGAATAAAACACGTTAGTAAACTGAGAATCAGAGTTATCTGTGTTTACGCGGTTCTAGTGCGATCGCCTGATGTACATGCATTGGTGACGTTATTGTTTGGTTAGGTTAGGTTTGGAGATGTATATGCATTAGTGACGTTAGTGTATGGTTATTAGGTAAATGTCCCTGTTGCTATGTTGGAATAATGTCTTCGAAAGGTACGCTTCATTATGATGTCCGCGCTCAACATCAGCATTATCACCTCTACAACATACTAAAAATTCAAGGTCATTGTATTTGCTAAAACAAAGATAACCTGGTCATATTATTCTAACATCTAACATACCAACCAGCCATATAAAGGCAGGAGCATTGAGTCAACTCCAGTCTGTCATAAATCTCTTTAACCAAAAAATGACGTCATCAATGGATATAGGTACATCTCCAAATAGCCTGCCGTATTATTACCGATTTAGCATTACCTGTAATACATTCCCGATTGCTATTTAGGAAATGTATAGATTTCCTAGGAAATATGTCTAATATAATTTATTACACACATTTCCGGGCGATTTTAGGAATTATATACATTTCCTAGGAAATGTATACAATGACGGATATAATACATTTCCGGTAACATATACACCGATGCAGTAATCAACAATCGCATTTTTATTTTGTCTATTAGTATGCCGTTGTCATGTAAAGACACGAATTTAACCTTAACACCATTATTTTTAGGTGTCGTTTAAGTATTATGTAAGCATCAAAAGGGGTAAGGGTCTTTGCTTTGCCTATTTTTGATGACATGGGGACGAAGGGATCTCGATGACGATTACGCCAGCAATATTTGTACGGACGGGGGTGATAGTTCCGTCATTGGCATGACGCCGGCCTCTTGGATAAAAAGTCACGCAACTGTCACGTATCCATTTGGACGCACCTTAATAATAAAAAATAAATTTGAACCAGAGTGACGAAAGAGTCGCAATGACAGTGTGCAGTTTAGTTATTGTTTCCTGTTTTGTCAACTACTCAGTCGGTTAAAAGTAATATATGCTAATTACTCAAAATTCAATAGAGAAGTCGACGGTTTCAACTGTTTTAATTTTGGAAAGTACAAAGCTCTTTCCAGAATGCAATGTGTGCACTCTCAACTTCAATTGTTATTATTGTAAGGTCATTACGTTTTCAGTTTATCCAATTACGTACTTGCTTAATTCAGTCGTTTAGGGCTTTTCGGGATTAGAGTGGTTCAGAATTATCCAATTAGCAAATGACTTGAAACAAAATCGAATTAGCTATTTGGCAATTAAATTTTCCACGTCGGGCCATTCTGTTTTCCCATTATATGCTAAAACGTTGCCGCTCTCTAATGCACACGGCAGATTATTCGGATAGATCAATTTCAATTTAGAAAAACTAACAAACATTTTATTTAACCCAGCAACAGATGAGGTTCACATATTGATAAAATAGGTATATGTATACTGTGTTGGTATGTGTGCTTACAAAGTTTATATAAACCTAAAATTTTTGCAATTGAGACCAAAATTCTAGCGAGGAAACACAATTGGTGGCTCTAGTCTAGGAGATCACTGTTGTTCGTTGATTGGAGCAGCACGATATTTCCAAAACATTGTTTAAATAAATATGTAATTATTATTACGTATACGGGGAGAAACAAAATTAAGTGCCGAACTTGCAGGAGTTCAATTCCGGCCCTGGCAAAGAAATACGACTCGCAATGCTGCACTCAATCAGCTGGTAATCAGTTTGGAATTTGTTTTGTATTTTTTTGCTCATGTGTTGTTTAATTGTTAGATTAGATTAAGTGTAATTTAGGGTGTCTGATATTTAATTTTGTTTGTAAACTTACAATCACCCGAAAAAGACAACGCGCCTTGGCAATACCTCAATGGCAGTGTGGAAATTTGTCTTAACAGAATTACAATTATCCAGGTGAACCTCACTTATCGATTAATATTTACGTAGCTTGCGTTTCTTGTTTCTTTTGTGTTAATACATTTACATAGTGCTGCTTGTAGTGTATTTATTTAATTTAGATAGTGTAGTACTGAATTGTTTATGTTTATCTTAGATATTAGATGATCGACAATGTTCACAATTTCCATTTAAGTAGCTGCAGAGTTTTTATCACACTATGCTTTTCGATAAATATCTATGTTCACAATTCACTCACAGGACCGGCTTTGATTGTGAATTTTTGTGATCTTCTTAAAGTTTCTTTTGCCCTTAATCTACCTTAAAATGGCGTTAATAAAATATATCTTTACGAACCGTTTTTGCTCTAATTATTTGTAGTTTGGAGAGTAATTTCTTATCATTTTGATATAAAAATAATAAATATGGTATCATCTATAACAGCATTTTAAATTTTCTTTTATGTATTTATTTTTAATTTGTTAACATAAATTTTATTGGATGTCTACTCCTTTCACTATTAGTCATCCTTTGTTTGGGATTAGATGTTGTTTGTGTAATCAAGTAATCACTAATCACGATCATTAATGTGCAATCAGCAATCTTCGGAGTCACATGATTTAATTTAAGAATACATATCCATGCTTTTACTTTCTAATTTTTTTAAATTTCCAAGTAGGTATATGTTCGACTTGCATCACACATATTGTCAAATTTTGGGAAGGTATGAAATAAAACAATTTTTTTATTGACTTACTATTACAGCCCCCTAACAACATGCGCAGATACTTCTGGTTGTCGAATGACTAGGTGTATGCGAACTGACAATTTCGATAATAATTCGGTAATAATTTCTTTTGTTTAATTTCATGCTTGCAATGTAGCTTTATCTTAGTTAAAATTTTAATCTTCAAACGTCGTGATCAACCACTAAATTGCTAAATAAATATGTAAAATAAGAAATGTGTAATGAACATAATCGAATTAAAACGTTTAAAAAAGTTAAGTAAGTAATTTATTTTATAACAACATGCCCTTAATAAGTGCTAAATTACCCAATGATCGTAGACCCTCCTTACAAATTGTACTAACCGTAATCGTATCTATTATACAAAAGGAATCTTCAATAATAAACAATTAATGGTTAATCTTCAGGTAATTGGGCAGATTACTTTGCTGTTACTTGAGAAGGAGACGTTACACCACAGAAGATGCGGTTGTGAATCCTGTAGGCGATTCTGTGCTTTCTTTTGAATTCGGAGAACATGATCCCATTTCTGACGTTAACCAACCGACATACTTTGCTACATTGGTGTAAACTGAGGTAGAAGCAATTACTTTACATTTTTCAAAACCAGTGATGGATAATCCGATAAGATATTTATCTTGTACCAACGGTTCTCCAGAAAATTTGTGGCACTCTGATAATGGACTTTCCCCTTTTGCACACAACACATGATCACCTTCTACCAATGCTCTAAGTAATTGCAGTAGGTTGACCGAAATCATTCTGGAATTGCAGTCTTAAACAAGGGAAACTTATTAAAAAAAGGTCATTTAAGGTTTTCTCATCCATCTACTTTCATCATTCACCAATCACTATTCGCCCTAAAATATCTATTTGGACTTGATGCCTATGGTTCAATAAATAATGGATCTCCTTCTTCGATGAGTCTCTGGGTGGTTGTGGTTACAGAGCCTGATCTAGCAGTACTCTGGTCAAAAATAATATTTGAAGCTGTTTACTGTTCGTTTCAAGAAGTTAGAGATATGCCCCTTCCCTTTATTAGGATGCGTCGTAGCATAATTCCAAATAAAACTTTTGCTTTGTTTTCTAATGTTAATTTATATACATTTTTGTTTTAAGAAATTGCTAAATATTTTCGTCTGGTACTGTACAGTTCTAGCCGATCTCCTAAGACCGCCCATCGAGAGCTCTGCTCGTTCAAGCTTGTTCCAACTATTTCTGTCTTGTTCACGCCTAGTGTGTATTCTTTCTATTTTTGCGCAGATTTCTTCAAGGTCACAATTCTATCAAATTGAAATAGACTGTACAATGACATTTTATATAAGTCATGGGCCTGTTATTCCGGTGATGGGACGGTGCAATCATTAACCGATCCTACTATGTATGTATCTATGCAATATTGTTGAAACTGTGCAATATTCACATATTAGTCTACTGGGGCTTATAAACGAGTACTTATACCTTAACACCGAAATGTGACAGAAATGGGTCTCCAGTACAGACCATTATTACCAGGAGTCTCCAGAAAACTATGTTAAACTAATGAGAAAATAAAATCCGAATTTTTGTTTATACAGATAAGCGAATCACCTTGGGGAATCCCCTGGAACGTCTTGTTGTAGGATAAAAGGATATCCTTCAAAAAATATTATATTACATACATACCAACCATCGAAAACAATTACTTTTCTCAAAGTAGGTGAAAAATGTTTGTGATACATAATCGAAACGAAAAGGTTTGCTAATTAAGAAATTTAAAATCGGTAAAAGAATCGAGATAATTTCCTTGTATTCTCAACTCAAAAATCCTGAACGATCATCACATTTCGTCTGCTCAAAAGAGTTGGTTACTTCTTTCGTATTTTTCTTAATGCTTAGCTGCTTGCTAGGTGACAGCATTAAGGGAATTAGAAGACAGCATTTTAAAATCTGTTGGTCCATCTACGAATTTATACTCTCTAGCTAAAATAGCAATTTTTAAAAAAGGAAAAGTTAGAGAAAATGATTTCGTCGGGTTGCTGAGCACTCTAATTTTTATGAGTTTTCTCTCCATGCTCTAAATTTTGCCGCTCCCCGTTTCTGCCGCTTTGGGCGTTTACCCAGCTGCCTTCCCCTGACAGTATGGCTGTATTAGCACAACCTAAACGAAGGAATTCAGCTATTACCACATTCCCAGAAAATTCCAAACAACCACAGCAACTGGCGATAAGTAGAATAAACCATCTGTCTATCCGAAACTTAGATGAAGCCCATCTACATACTCACCGAAGAAGGAAAAGCAAATTCTAAACCATCAAGACCAAATATCAAAACCGCTTCAAATAATGCCGTCTGTGAATGTCTTAGTCCTTTCGTTAATTAGTTGAGTTGTTTTTGTTTAGTGAGTTTAAAATAACTGATCTGCACTTACTGGATATTTGTTTGCCCGTAACTTCTAATGTGTATTTAAGAGATAATGATTGCCGTGCCCATGCTATTTGTTTCGCAGTGTTGTTTGGTTTATACGAAGTTGGCGGTAGTTCAACTTTATTTACAGCTGAGTTGAATGTTAAGGGAAATTCGAGCATTATTAATGCAATGTTGTAAGTTCCGGTAATACTAAAACATATGAAAAACAGAGAGCATTATCGTAATAACAAAATCTGACCAATAAACAAATTCTTCAGAATGCTTTTAAACGTTTGAATTTACTAGAGAATGGTTTACACTTACACTTACCTACTGTATGAGGGGTGAATCTTCACCTTTTTTACTTTTCCCATTTGTCTAAAAGGCGAAATTTCATCCATTTGCTGAATACCAGTAATTATTGCCGTAGGTGACATACTAACGCAGTTGGCAGTAGTCACTACTAAGTTTTCGGAAATTATAACCCCACTACATCTTGTAATTAAGGGTACTTTATATTTGTACACCAGTTGAACATGGTACGGAAACTCAGTTAGGTCAGCAGTAATCCTTCTTTTAAAGCGATATTGAGAACTTTCTTCAGTTAAAGGCGAACCTGCAAAGAAAACATCAATCTGATTCTTCAAACGTCGTGATCAACCACTAAATGGCTAAATAAATATGTAAAATAAGAAATGTGTAATGAACATAATCGAATTAAAACGTTTAAAAAAGTTAAGTAAGTAATTTATTTTATAACATCATGCCCTTAATAAGTGCTAAATTACCCAATGATCGTAGACCCTCCTTACAAATTGTACTAACCGTAATCGTATCTATTATACAAAAGGAATCTTCAATAATAAACAATTAATGGTTAATCTTCAGGTAATTGGGCAGATTACTTTGCTGTTACTTGAGAAGGAGACGTTACACCACAGAAGATGCGGTTGTGAATCCTGTAGGCGATTCTGTGCTTTCTTTTGAATTCGGAGAACATGATCCCATTTCTGACGTTAACCAACCGACATACTTTGCTACATTGGTGTAAACTGAGGTAGAAGCAATTACTTTACATTTTTCAAAACCAGTGATGGATAATCCGATAAGATATTTATCTTGTACCAACGGTTCTCCAGAAAATTTGTGGCACTCTGATAATGGACTTTCCCCTTTTGCACACAACACATGATCACCTTCTACCAATGCTCTAAGTAATTGCAGTAGGTTGACCGAAATCATTCTGGAATTGCAGTCTTAAACAAGGGAAACTTATTAAAAAAAGGTCATTTAAGGTTTTCTCATCCATCTACTTTCATCATTCACCAATCACTATTCGCCCTAAAATATCTATTTGGACTTGATGCCTATGGTTCAATAAATAATGGATCTCCTTCTTCGATGAGTCTCTGGGTGGTTGTGGTTACAGAGCCTGATCTAGCAGTACTCTGGTCAAAAATAATATTTGAAGCTGTTTACTGTTCGTTTCAAGAAGTTAGAGATATGCCCCTTCCCTTTATTAGGATGCGTCGTAGCATAATTCCAAATAAAACTTTTGCTTTGTTTTCTAATGTTAATTTATATACATTTTTGTTTTAAGAAATTGCTAAATATTTTCGTCTGGTACTGTACAGTTCTAGCCGATCTCCTAAGACCGCCCATCGAGAGCTCTGCTCGTTCAAGCTTGTTCCAACTATTTCTGTCTTGTTCACGCCTAGTGTGTATTCTTTCTATTTTTGCGCAGATTTCTTCAAGGTCACAATTCTATCAAATTGAAATAGACTGTACAATGACATTTTATATAAGTCATGGGCCTGTTATTCCGGTGATGGGACGGTGCAATCATTAACCGATCCTACTATGTATGTATCTATGCAATATTGTTGAAACTGTGCAATATTCACATATTAGTCTACTGGGGCTTATAAACGAGTACTTATACCTTAACACCGAAATGTGACAGAAATGGGTCTCCAGTACAGACCATTATTACCAGGAGTCTCCAGAAAACTATGTTAAACTAATGAGAAAATAAAATCCGAATTTTTGTTTATACAGATAAGCGAATCACCTTGGGGAATCCCCTGGAACGTCTTGTTGTAGGNCCTTGTTAATAAAAATAAAAAAAGTTCATTACCGATGCACAGTTCCCAGTGATAGTGGAAATTAAAATTATGTGTGTAAGAAAATGTATTTTTCGGTGACCTATTATTGCATATCTTTGTAAGGTATGATAACTAATACCAATTTAACGGTCGCGTGTGATGTAAAGTTTTCAAATTGTTTGCCAATGAAAAGAAAGGGAGTTTGAGGGATGAATCCCGTTGGCACAAGACGAGGAAGTTTTCATTTTCATTTGAAGTACTTTAAGAGTTTTCAGACTTCTTTTTATTGCCATTTATGGAATTGGAAGACATAGAGTTCTAAATTTTTTTTACAACTACTACAGGCGACCGTTCGAACACTTGTTGTAGATAGCATGTCTTTCAAAATCGTAAGCCTTAAGATACCTGCAGTATCTTACGTTACAAAGGTATGCGGTATAAAACTGGAGACAGGACACTTTCTCAGACATGAAGGGCTACATTATCAAAAAGTTAGTAGCGTTCGAAATGTGATGTTACTGCCGAATGATGAGGATACCGTGGATGGAGAAGGTTAGAAATGAGGAGGTAGTAGAAACAGTATAAGAACAGATGGCGCTAGTCAATAAGAAATAGGCGAGGTAGGTTGATACCTTCTCAAGCATGAAGGGCTATTTAGAGACATATTAGATGTAGAAAGAAGGGCTAAAAAGGGTAGAGCTAAAGATAGGAAAAGGAGTAGTTGCTCAACCAGTCTTCGTGCTGAAAACCTGAAGATAATAATAATAATAATAATAATGTCTTTATTGCTCTTAAATTCACATAAATAATTACAACTATACAACAAACAAATTATATGCAACTATTCAAATAATGAACGCGTAGTATAGAAATGACCAACAAGTCGATTGCAGATACAAAAGATAACTAACAGAAGTTAAGAATAATATATAGTACATAGAATAGTTAAAAAGACAATTGATAGGATTGACAAATAAAAGAAAATTCAAAAGTTGTTTAGAATAAAATCTCTCACGTTAGTTTTGAAACTGTCAATGCTCAGGTTTTTAAAATCGCGAGGTAAGAGATTATAGTAGTGAGGGGCAAGATTGGAAAATGCCGCCTCAAATCGCGTAGTGCGATGTATCGGAGCGACTAATAGCGACGAAGCAAATGATGATGATGATAAAAAAGATATAGCTTTATACATAATTTTTTAATCCAATCAATAAACATATAAGTGCTAGTAAAGACCAGCGGAGTGCCCTCTCCGCACGGATTGAAATTCCTAGAAAATATGCCGATTTGAACGCCATCTTTAAGTAAAGGTCCTCCTAGATCATCCCAACAATCGGAAATGCTACCGGGACCATCGGTACAAATTGTGTACTGAGTGACGTAAAAAAAGTCTGTGAAGTTCTTGAAGTATTCACTACACTCTGTAGAATGTAACTGCCGATGATGAGGATGATCATTTATAACATTTCAAATTTTCTTTTATGTATTTGTTTTTAATTTGTTAACATAAATTTTATTGGATGTCTACTTCTTTCACTATTAGTCATCCTTTGTTTGTGATTAGATGATGTTTATGTAATCAAGTAATCACTAATCACGATCATTAAGGTGCAATCAGCAATTTTCGGAGTCACATGATTTAATTTAAGGATACATATCCATGCTTTTAATCTATCTAATTTTTTTAAATTTCCAAGTAGGTATATGTTCGACTTGCATCACACATATTGTCAAATTTTGGGAAGGTATGAAATAAAACAATTTTTTTATTGACTTACTATTACAGCCCCCTAACAAGGCATGCGCAGATACTTCTGGTTGTCGAATGACTAGGTGTATGCGAACTGACAATTTCGATAATAATTCGGTAATAATTTCTTTTGTTTAATTTCATGCTTGCAATGTAGCTTTATCTTAGTTAAAATTTTAATCTTCAAACGTCGTGATCAACCACTAAATTGCTAAATAAATATGTAAAATAAGAAATGTGTAATGAACATAATCGAATTAAAACGTTTAAAAAAGTTAAGTAAGTAATTTATTTTATAACAACATGCCCTTAATAAGTGCTAAATTACCCAATGATCGTAGACCCTCCTTACAAATTGTACTAATCGTAATCGTATCTATTATACAAAAGGAATCTTCAATAATAAACAATTAATGGTTAATCTTCAGGTAATTGGGCAGATTACTTTGCTGTGACTTGAGAAAGCGACGTTAAACCTGAGCAGATGCGGTTGTGGATTCTTTAGGCGATTCTGTACTTTCTTTTGAACTCATTTCTGATGTTAACCAATCGACATACTTTACTACATTGGTGTAAACTGAGGTGGAAGCAATTACTTTACATTTTTCAAAACCAGTGATGGATAATCCGATAAGATATTTATCTTGTACCAACGGTTCTCCAGAAAATTTTTGGCACTCTACTAATGGACTTTCTCCCTTTGCACACAATATATGATCATCTTCTACCCTTGCTCTAAGTAATTGCAGTAGGTTGACCGAAATCCTTCTGGAACTGCAGTCTTAAACAAGGGAAACTTATTAAAAAAACGTCATTTAAGGTTTTTTCATCCATCTACATTCATCATTCACCAATCATTATTCGCCCTAAAATATCTATTTCGACTTGATGCCTATGGTTCAATAAATAATGGATCCCCTTCTTCGATGAGTCTGTGGGTGGTTGCGGCTACAGAGCCTGATCTAGCAGTTTAGGTACTCTGGTCATATGCCCCTTCCCTTTATTAGGAGGCGTCGTAGCATAATTCCAAATCCAATCATCTTTGTCTGCGGAGCTCATTTCTTCACCGATCATCGAGCGAGAACTAGACAAAAGTGTACAGTACCATTTGCAAAATTATATAAACAGCCTCGTTAAAATTTAAGAATATGCTTTATTTAAAAGCATATTTAGCCAAAACTAATAACAAGTGAATTAACTTAACGCTCTGCACACCTATAAAACTTTTGCTTTGTTTTCTAATGTTAATTTATATACATTTTTGTTTTAAGAAATTTCTAAACATTTTCGTCTAGTACTGTACAGTTCTAGCCGATCTCCTAAGACCGCCCATCGAGAGCTCTGCTCGTTCAAGCTTGTTCCAACTATTTCTGTCTTGTTCACGCCTAGTGTGTATTCTTTCTATTTTTGCGCAGATTTCTTCAAGGTCACAATTCTATCAAATTGAAATAGACTGTACAATGACATTTTATATAAGTCATGGGCCTGTTATTCCGGTGATGGGACGGTGCAATCATTAACCGATCCTACTATGTATGTATCTATGCAATATTGTTGAAACTGTGCAATATTCACATATTAGTCTACTGGGGCTTATAAACGAGTACTTATACCTTAACACCGAAATGTGACAGAAATGGGTCTCCAGTACAGACCATTATTACCAGGAGTCTCCAGAAAACTATGTTAAACTAATGAGAAAATAAAATCCGAATTTTTGTTTATACAGATAAGCGAATCACCTTGGGGAATCCCCTGGAACGTCTTGTTGTAGGATAAAAGGATATCCTTCAAAAAATATTATATTACATACATACCAACCATCGAAAACAATTACTTTTCTCAAAGTAGGTGAAAAATGTTTGTGATACATAATCGAAACGAAAAGGTTTGCTAATTAAGAAATTTAAAATCGGTAAAAGAATCGAGATAATTTCCTTGTATTCTCAACTCAAAAATCCTGAACGATCATCACATTTCGTCTGCTCAAAAGAGTTGGTTACTTCTTTCGTATTTTTCTTAATGCTTAGCTGCTTGCTAGGTGACAGCATTAAGGGAATTAGAAGACAGCATTTTAAAATCTGTTGGTCCATCTACGAATTTATACTCTCTAGCTAAAATAGCAATTTTTAAAAAAGGAAAAGTTAGAGAAAATGATTTCGTCGGGTTGCTGAGCACTCTAATTTTTATGAGTTTTCTCTCCATGCTCTAAATTTTGCCGCTCCCCGCTTCCCCTGACAGTATGGCTGTATTAGCACAACCTAAACGAAGGAATTCAGCTATTACCACATTCCCAGAAAATTCCAAACAACCACAGCAACTGGCGATAAGTAGAATAAACCATCTGTCTATCCGAAACTTAGATGAAGCCCATCTACATACTCACCGAAGAAGGAAAAGCAAATTCTAAACCATCAAGACCAAATATCAAAACCGCTTCAAATAATGCCGTCTGTGAATGTCTTAGTCCTTTCGTTAATTAGTTGAGTTGTTTTGGTTTAGTGTGTCTGAAATAGCTGATCTGCACTTACTGGTTAGTTGTTTTCCCGTAACTTCTAATGTGTATTTAAGAGAAAATAATAATCGCCGTCCCCATGCTATTTGTTGCGCAATGTCCTTTAGTTTATACGAAGTTGGCGGTAGTTCAACTTTATTTACAGCTGAATTGAATGTCAAGGGAAATTCGAGCATTATTAATGCAATGTTGTAAGTTCCGGTAACACTAAAACATATGAAAAACAGAGAGCATTATCGTAATAACAAAATCTGACCAATAAACAAATTCTTCAGAATGCTTTTAAGCGTTTGAATTTACTAGAGAATGGTTTGCACTTACACTTACCTACTGTATGAGGGGTGAATCTTCACCTTTTTTACTTTTCCCATTTGTCTAAAAGGCGAAATTTCATTCATTTGCTGAATACCAGTAATTATTGCTATAGGTGACATACTAACGCAGTTGGCAGTGGTCAGTACATAGCTTTCGGAAATTATAACCCCACCACATCTCGTAATTAGGGGAACATTATATTTGTACACCAGTTGAACATGGTACGGAAACTCAGTTAGGTCAACAGTAATCTTTCTTTTAAAGCGATATTGAGAAATTTCTTCAGTTAAAGGCGAACCTGCAAAGAAAACATCAATCTGATTGAATGCGTATTGTGCCCCTACTCATTACGAATATATTAAAAATATATGATTAAGAGAAGCCAAAATGGTCGGTGAGTATTCACAAGATCGTGTTATGGGAAATGGATATTTTGGTTTTGAAAATTTCAGCCACATCAAGTTATTGGTTGTATTCTGTCGCCATCTACTGACATTTGCAGGTGACTGTGGTATTTTATATAATTGACATGGACATTGACAGGCTAATACATAAAACAAACCAATAAAGAACATTAAGTTTTTGATTTGAAATTTTGAAACCTGAAATACTGCTTTCCTTATCGTACCTGATGAAGCCATTATATGGCAAAACAATTGTTGTGGACAGTTAAGCAATATTTGAATATCTAGTGTGATTTCAATTTATTGGCAGTAGATGTATGTCATCTGCTGTTGTTCATTGTTAACTGTAATATTTCATTAATTTCTTAAGGGCCATAGGCACACACATATATCTACTTCTTAAACTGAATCTACGTCTAATCTACAAATGATATCGACAACTGCCTGTCAGTTCAGAGATCTTGACTCAGTTGGATTTAGAAGCATCCACAATTGAAATAAAAATTTGCAGTGGGTCACTCAGAAACTATTTGTTAAAGTCACCTGCTGCAGGTATATGTATATACGATCGAAATCCAATATGGCGGACATCCATGTACTTCGTTCACGTACTAAACTACATTAATAAGAAATGTTAAGATATTGGTCAGCTATCAGCTTATCAAAACTACCACATGTGGTTCGCGATTTCTTATCAGCTTTGCTTAAACCATAAGTAGTTTCAATGGCGGTTTCGGAAAATTGCTGCCCAACTGTTCTCTGTTTTCAGAGCCATGTTTTCTCTTATTTTGAACCAAGTATAAAATATTGAAATTTTCGCTGTTACGTTTTGGTGTTAGGTTTTTTTACAGTAGATATTCACTTATTTAATAACACTGGGAAGTTTTAGCAATTCTATTATTAGCAAATCATATTAACATACCTGTGACAGCGGACACAGTTAAAAACAAAACAAAGAATTTCATGTCTGTGATTTGTTGCTTACAATTGATGTTATTTCCAACAATACCTATTTATTTATGTGCTTATCTCATAAAAAATATTCAACAAATTTCGTAATCGAAAATAGTGTAAAATGCTTTCCTGAAAACTAATTGTACTATTTTTTATTGCGTAACTATCAAAGTATTTTCCAAATAATAAAAATACGCAATGTTGGGTTTTATTTCTTTTACGATTTTTATTAATCTTTCTACTTCATTAATTGCACACCTGCTGCTTTGTGAAGTAACATAAAAATGATGAAATGATTTATTTCCAAATGAACGAAGAAGTAAAAAACAATTCTAAAAATAAGTATATAAATATCAATTATATTTTTTCTGGTGACCACATATTATAAATTTTTTCTTACGATAGTTGGACTGGAGGTGGTGACCTCCGATTTTATACACAATGTTTTCTTGAGGGTTGTTAATTTGCCCCTTGTTAATAAAAATAAAAAAAGTTCATTACCGATGCACAGTTCCCAGTGATAGTGGAAATTAAAATTATGTGTGTAAGAAAATGTATTTTTCGGTGACCTATTATTGCATATCTTTGTAAGGTATGATAATTAATACCAATTTAACGGTCGCGTGTGATGTAAAGTTTTCAAATTGTTTGCCAATGAAAAGAAAGCGAGTTTGAGGGATGAATCCCGTTGGCACAAGACGAGGAAGTTTTCATTTTCATTTGAAGTACTTTAAGAGTTTTCAGACTTCTTTTTATTGCCATTTATGGAATTGGAAGACATGGAATACTAAATTTTTTTTACAACTACTACAGGCGACCATTCGAACACTTGATAGCATGCCTTTCAAAATCGTAAGCGTTAAGGCATCTTTAGTATCTTACGTTACAAAGGCATGCGGTATAAAACTGGAGACAGGACACTTTCTAAGACATGAAGGACTACATTATCAAAAAGTTAGTAGCGTTCGAAATGTGATGTTACTGTCGAATGATGAGGATACCGTGGATGGAGAAGGTTAGAAATGAGGAGGTAGTAGAAAGAGTATAAGAACAGATGGCGCTAGTCAATAAGAAATAGGCGAGGTAGGTTGGCAAGATACCTTCTCAAGCATGAAGGGCTATTTAGAGACATTTTAGATGTAGAAAGAAGGGCTAAAAAGGGTAGAGCTAAAGATAGGAATAAGAGTAGTTGCCCAACCAGTCTTCGTGCTGAAAACCTGAAGATGATGATGATGATAAAAAAAACATAGCTTTATACATAATTTTTAATCCAATCAATAAACATATAAGTGCTAGTAAAGACCAGCGGAGTGCCCTCTCCGCACGGATTGAAATTCCAAGAAGATATTCCGATTTGAACGCCATCTTTAAGTAGAGGTCCTCCTAGATCACCCCAACAATCGGAAATGCTACCGGGACCATCGGTACAAATTGTGTACTGAGTGACGTAAAAAAAGTCTGTGAAGTTCTTGAAGTATTCACTACACTCTGTAGAATAACAAGGTTTCAATTAGTTTAGGAAGATAAATTCTACAGTAAACTATTGGACTGACGGAAATCCAAAGTAGGGCAACTCCAACCTAGCATAAAACTTTAATGTAGATAGTTTACAATATGTATTAGTTTTGTAAATATTTTCCATTAAAGGCTTCTTTTGTAATAATTAATGCAAAATGGAAACCATTTCCAATAGTCTTTGCAATAGTATATAGGTCTGTAGACAATGTAATGACAAAGTAATTCATTGTTCGCAACCCTATTTTATGGTAAATTTCGCCTTCTTAAAATGACCCTACAATGTATTAATTTAATAAGTGCATAATGTTTGACGTAAGTATTTAAAATAAAAAATTGCGTTAAAATGCTTTGCTGCTAGAGAGAAAAGAACAGGTTTAAAGTGACTTCAACTTATGCAATAAAGTCAAGAGTTGTAAAATCGCAAATACACCTTCAAACGTCCAAAGTTTCAGTTGACTAACATGAAGAACTTGTGACGAAGTGACACTTAAGGGCGCGAGTTCTCCCCATCCAGGGAATTCGACATTACCTACAAACTGTTGGTCGCTATGCAAAGGGATGTTCACCGGTTTCACGAAGTCATTCCATATCAAGGGAGACTTCAATTTAAGAATGGAAATATCTCTGCCTTTACCAAACGGCCTATAAAAAAGAAACAAAAAAAACAATAAGGTTACACGTAAGAACTTAAAAAATAAAATAATTCGAAGTGGTCTGTATTCTGTCGAAACTGCCAGAGACGCGAATCCTAAAATGTAGCATCGTGCTACAGATGGCGTTTACTGCGCCATTTGTAGTATTTTCTAAAACTTAAAAAATGTTTCAATTCTATACTTTATTATTGTTAGTTATCTTTCGAACTATAAGAGGCGTATCATTGTCATCGGTCTTCTTTATTTGCTAATTGTTGGTCAATTTTGATGATTGAGAAATAAGATTCTCAAACATTAAATACATGTTTTGTAAAAGAATGTAATTTTAAAATTGGAGATGATCGAATTAGTCAAAATCGAACCCTGTATTATGTTTACAATTGAAGAATAATTTTGGTCAATTGTCTCCTGACCCCTCGTTGAAACACTCGTCTCACTCACATACTTATCTCGAAGGACAAATTAGAGAGATTCTTCTTCTTTAAATGTAATTCTCCCTATTTCTCAATGGTCAATGTAAAGTATTTCTCGCATTATATCTACACTATGTCTGATCAGTATTTCGTAATATTTGAAGAGTGACGTGTGGAAGCACTGCAGAGGGCATCTCGTTATAAAACCACAACGTAGGGGATGTAAAAAGTGTGCACAAAAAGTACTCCAATTAGCGAGCCATCAACTGCTGAGAAAAGTTAGGCTTTCGACGAAACACAGTTACCTATTCGTGACCTTCGCAAACAGCTGATACGTAGACAATTCAATTGTACTCTGCACTCGTTAGCGTTCGATTGGCAAAGTATTACCACAAAATACAAAAATAAGCTGAATGTGGAAATATTAAATAAAAACCAATGTATTCATATGCAGAATATGCGGACATGGTGGTCACATATGGACGGTAAGATCGATACCCTCATGTTTATGTACGAGGGTGGATTGATAAGTTTCCGGCCTAACCAAGAGATGACGCCACTAGGCCTACCTTGAGGTGACATTCTATAGTACCATCCTTGGATAGCTTGTAGCTATAGTTTCAGCCCGATCTCCTTGCTAGTGTAGGTTTGACAGCACGCTGAACAAGACGCCTCTGTGGTTTTCGTAAAAATGGAAAAGCAGGAAAATCGTGCTGTCATCAAATACTTTTATTTGAAGGGGTTAACGCCGAAGGAAATTAAAAAAGAGATGGACTCAACACTGGGGACATCCTCCCCGTCATATTCAACCGTTAAGCAGTGGGTTTCCGAGTTTAAAAAGGGTCGTGTGAGCACCTCTGATGGGCCTCGCTCAGGACGCCCCGTTGAGGTCACAACTCCAGATATGATCGAAAAAATTCATCAAATAGTGCTGGGAGACCGCAGATTGAAAGTGCGTGAGATAGCTGAGACCTGTAAGATGTCATATGAACGTGTGCAACATATTTTGCACCAACATTTGCATATGGAAAAGCTCTGTGCAAGATGGGTGCCGCGTTTGCTAACAGTCGACCAAAAATTGATTCGAAAAAACATTTCTACCGCAAATTTGTCATTGTATAAGCGTAATCCAAGCGAATTTTTGCGTCGATTCGTAACCGTTGACGAAACGTGGGTCCACCACTACACTCCTGAAACCAAAGAACAGTCTAAACAGTGGATTGGACCAGGGGAACCAACTCCAAAGAAGGCAAAAACAATTTTTTCGGCGAACAAGGTTATGGCTACTGTTTTTTGGGATGCAAGAGGTATTATATACATTGATTACCTTGCAAAGGGTAATACTATCACTGGTCAATACTACGCAGACTTATTGCAACGTTTGAGCCACGAGGTGAAAATTAAACGACCTCATCTGGCGAAGAAAAAAATCTTGTTTCATCACGATAACGCACCAGCGCACACGTCAATCGTTGCGACGGCTAAAATCAACGATCTAAAGTTTGAATTGATGCCGCACCCTCCTTACTCTCCAGACCTAGCCCCGAGTGACTATTTTCTGTTCCCTAATCTCAAAAAATGGCTTGGCGGTAAGAGATTTGCGGACAATGAAGAAGTAATCGAAGCTGTAAATGGTTATTTTGAGGAGCTTGACGAATCAGTCTATAGAGATAGCATTAATAGACTGGAACACCGCTATGAGAAATGTATCAGCCTTTGAGGAGATTATGTTGAGAAATAAAAAAAAAAAATTTTTAAAAACCTTGTTTTTCTTGGTCAGGCCGGAAACTTATCAATCCACCCTCGTATATCATATAATATGTGCGAGAAGGCTCGTTCTGCTTGTTTGTCATGTACCTGCTTTTCCCTTAATTTTTCTTGAATACTGATCAGGTATGATGTATAATACATTCAGTGAATGTGCAGCTTTAATCTACTAAATTATATTTAAGTTGGTGTATGACCATTATCTGGTTTAGTTTTAAAAGATCAATGAAACTACTTTTCTATCATGGTGTGGGGTAATAAGTAAACATCCCGTTTGTTGGAAGCCTTAAGCTACCAAATTGAAAGAATAGCAGTGAATCGTAAATAGACGATACAACTATTGCTAGACAAGCTGTCTCTTATTACCAGTTACGCTAAATTAAATTGAAACGGTTGTTATTACCACTCAGTGTTGTTAAACGCTTTGACAACCTGCAGACGTCCTTCAATTCGCTAATTGCACTATAAAGGTGGTTAATATACAAGGATGTACTATAGGTTCTTGTAATTATAATTGCTACTTCATGATCGTAGCCCTAGGTTATTCGATTTGCTGTATTGTCTCACCATGTGGATGGTTCCTCACTGTATCGAATTATTTCTTGGACGGAAATCTTTTGAGAATATATCCCGGAGAATTTCAAATTTCGTATGCCTGCAGCCACCTTGTATTGCGTTTTTCTTTCAAGTACGCAGTGAGTGGCAGTAAGAACATATCTTTCTGATATTATTGTTCCACCACACAAATGGCCATGATGACGTACCAAAATTTTTTGAACGGATACCAGAAATGGATAACTATTGGGTGGAGGTTCGTTTGGATCCTGCTTCCCATTCGAGTTTAAAAGCTGGTAAAATGGATCTAAAAGAAACGGTTTACTCACTTGAATTTAAATAAATTTAAACTAGGTAGAATTAATTAAATGTAAAAATTACCTGTTAAAGTTTCGGATGATGAATTTACAAGAAAGAGAAACACTACGAATGAGGTGATGTTCATGATTTGCTATACTCAACTACCAAGTTTCATCTGAGTTCTTAGACTAAATACGTTCACATTAATAAAAACAATAACAAGAATATGTGTAATTTAATCGGAATGTTCGATACGTATATTCTTTTATTTAATAGAACAATGGATGCATTGGATAATTAAATGCATAAACATAGAAAGAAATAATATGCTAATGCTTTAGAAATTAATTTTAAAACAATAAATCGATGGAAAGTCAACTTCATACTATCTTCTATTTTCACTTTAACTGTTGATATAGCCATCACACTGATACTTAATTATAATTTTTTATTCATCACATATCACAATAAATTACAAAAGCATTTTATATTATTTGTTATTAGTCAGCACTACTAAAAATTAGTGAATATTAATTACATTTAAAATGATAATTGAATCAGTGAAAATTATGAGCATTATATAAACATAAAAATAATATAAAAAAAAGTGTTATATCGGCTCGAAATAGAATCTCTTTTCTGTACCGATAGATTTTTTAATGTGGCATCATATCTAGGGCTTCCTTTCGAAGACGTTTACTAGTTAAGGGTGTGAAAATTTTAGATCTGTGATGTAACGGTTTGGAAAACCTCTTCCGATCTTAACAGATTCTGGAGATGAACACGGATAAATCGAAGATAATGATATGATAATAATGAGAAAATGTGGTGGAAGATAATATTTACATTGAAAAATTGAAAAAAACAAAAATTAAAAATGTACAACTACCTAGGTTACTTTAGACTCTCGTCTTCAACATATTCATTCTCAGTTTCAACATGTTATTAGTGTTCAGTTTCGGCATGCTATAGGGCTGTTCGGAAAGTCATTTCGGTTTTTCCCGACAGAGAATTTAATTGTATTCTTTTGCACCCAACTTCACATTTAAGCCGTATAATTTTTATATGCTTTGAGAGCTCATATAGCAAGGCTTGTGTGTGAAAAATTCCAATTAATTCTACGCAGTAGTTTTTGGTTGGTGCCCTTTTAAATATGGAGAGCGATAAGCAGCATTTTCGACATATCTTACTGTTTTACTACAGAAAGGGTAAAAATGCTGTTCAAGCCAGAAAGAAATTGACTGATGTGTATGGAGAAGGTGTGTTGACAGTACGCCAGTGCCAGAACTGGTTCGCTAAATTTCGATCCGGCAATTTTGATGTCGAAGATGCACCACGTTCGGGAAGGCCGGTTGAAGCTGATAAAGACGCGATAAAGGCATTAGTTGATGTGAACCGGCGAATAACAACACGTGAGATCGGATTGAGGTTAAATTTATCAAATTCAACAGTTTATGACCACTTGAAAGGCCTGGGATTATCCTCGAAGCTCGATGTATGGGTTCCCCATGTTCTCACAGAGAGAAATCTGTGTCGCCGCATTGACGTCTGCGATTCGCTTCTCAAACGTCACGAAAATGATCCGTTTTTGAAGCGCATCATCACTGGGGACGAAAAATGGGTTGTATACAACAACGTCAAACGCAAGAGGTCATGGAGCAAAAAAGATGAACCGGCTCAAACCATTTCCAAAGCCGATATTCACCAAAAAAAGGTGATGCTGTCTGTTTGGTGGGATTTTAAAGGAATCGTTTTTTTTGAGCTTTTACCGGATAACACAACGATTAATTCGGAAGTCTACTGTCATCAGCTGGACAAACTGAATGATGCACTTCAACAGAAAAGGTCAGAACTAATCAACAGGAAAGGTGTAGTGTTTCACCAAGACAACGCGAGACCTCACACAAGTTTGGTCACTCGCCAAAAGCTTTTACAGCTTGAATGGGATACAATGCTACACCCACCATATTCTCCAGACCTGGCACCATCGGATTATTATTTGTTCCGGTCACTCCAAAATTTTTTAGACGGTAAAACCTTCACCTCAAATGAGGAGGTCAAAAACCTCCTCGATCAGTTTTTTGCCAGCAAAGACCAAAAATTTTATAAGCGTGGAATTATGCTACTACCAGAAAGATGGCAAAAGGTGTTGGACCAGAACGGTCAATATATAATTTAATAATGTATTTGTTTATTATACGAAAACTGTCTTTCATTTCCATAAAAAAAAAAAACGAAATGACTTTCCGAACAACCCTATATTTTTATTATTATTTTGCAGAATAGTTATTTACGTATTGTTACTGTAACTCTTCATTCATTTTAATGAAATTGTGATGTGTTTTGCATTCGTGTATAGCAATTCAGTACGTGTATGTTCAACAAAATTGCCATGCCCGCTGTCACGTTGCAAACTTCTCAAATAAGTTTTTAGTAGGTATTCACTACTTCGCAATCTAGAGTCCTTGGTATGTACTGGCGTGCCATTTTCTCATAACCGGAAAAGGAAGATAAAGTGAAGTAAGTAATTGCTGAATGTCACTTAACAGTTTATACGAACGCAGGACTCGACAATGAATCACTTAGAAACACTGACGTCAAATGCAATCCCAACAATGTTCCGGAAGGAATTACTGATTTGTTTCGGAGGAAGCAATTTGTATCTGGGAAATGTATTGGTTTGGATTCATTCGTTCGCAATTATTGTCGTTTAAATTGCGTAAAAGAAGCCTCTGAGATAATTATTTGTCGGTTAACGTTATAATTAAACAGTCGGTTGTGGATAACTTGTTGAAATCGTTTCATACTGATTAAAAACCAAGCAATAACAGTTTCAATACAGATATAGTTCGGATGTTCAAAATTGACCTACTACGAAGCAAAACTGTCGCATTTACTTCCTTCTTTTAACTTACTTACTAGATCAGAGCAGTTACAAAACGCAGCAAATAACTACAGTCTCAAGTAAAATCAAGAAAGTACAGTTCATATCAACTTGTTAGAATTGTGACCTTGACGAAATCTGCGCAAAGAAAGAAAGAATACACACTCAGGCGTGAGCAAGACAGAAATAGTTGGAACAAGCTTGAACGAGCAGAGCTCTCGATGGGCGGTCTTAGGAGATCGGCTAGAACTGTACAGTACTAGACGAAAATGTTTAGAAATTTCTTAAAACAAAAATGTATATAAATTAACAATAGAAAGCAAAGCAAAAGTTTTATAGGTGTGCAGAGCGTTAAGTTAATTCACTTGTTATTATTTTTGGCTAAATATGCTTTTAAATAAAGCATATTCTTAAATTTTAACGAGGCAGTTTAAATAATTTTGCAAATGGTACTGTACACTTTTGTATAGTTCTCGCTCGATGATCGGTAGAGAAATGAGCTCCGCAGACAAATATGATTGAATTTGGAATTATGCTACGGCGCATCCTAATAAAGGGAAGGGGCATATCTCCAACTTCTTGAAACAAGCAGTATATACGTCCCATTTGCCAATTTTGATCGCCCAATCTATACTACAATAAAATTGTTTCACTGTACAACAGCTTCTTCAAGTGGAAGATTCTGTATTCGTAATCGAAATTATGATTGTTATATTTTAAATGTTGAGAATATGTTGATTCGTATCTTTTATTAGTACAATATTATCTACCATTTAATAAGCAATTTGGTGTACTAGTCGGAAGGTATTTATTATTTTCATTTATTTTGTAAGTCTAGTGTTCCAATATTGGTTCTTCTTCTTAGAGCCTGTAAAGAGAGGCTTTTATCTAAAGCTCCGCTAGCTGTTTTGGCTGGTATCACCAGGGAACGTTGACCTTTCGGAGGAACGTGAGTCTTCGTCACGTTCCCTCGAGATATCAACCACAGCAGCTGGCGAAACGTGGGATAAACCACACCATCCACCGGCTCACTGAAAGAGATGATCCAATCCTGGACTCCAGCCGTCAAGTCCCAATATCAAATCTTTTTCAGATGTCGTAGGCCGTGAAAACATAAGCCTTTTGAAATACAGATTTTTCAAAATTGAGGACTGAAATGAAAGGTCTCTCAGAATCATTGGTATACCATAGTGAGAGAAAATGGTGTCCCTCTTTGTGGACAAGATTAAAAACTTAAACTGTTTCCATGACTTTCAACTAACTAATGGAAATTAGCAAGTTCGACACAATGAATTTCTGATCTAAAACTGAAAATTGTTTAATTAATTTTTTATTTTGAATACTAGGAGGTTAAAACAGTAACACAGATAAATGTAGCTTGGAGTACAGCAATAATTATGTACTTTTATGGACAACTCTGTGACTCAAACTGACTTAATTAAAAGAAAAAAAGGAGATAGCAGAAATGCTTCACACTGTTACTTTATTTCCCATTAAATTTTAAAACGTTTTCATTAGGTCCATTTTTGTGAAAGTTGTTAAAATATTTCCAGCAAAGGGTGACATTACCTTTTATATTTATTACACTTAATACCCTAAAGATAAAAATGAAAAAGAGAGAAAAGTGCTGATGTGCTGCTTTTTATTTCCAAAATTTTAATTCTTTTTTTAATAATGCTTGAAGATGGTAGGTATGTGATCAAAATTAGAGATGGGGCGTTGTATAACGTAAAGTATACAAAATAAGATAGCAAAATACGTTATACCAAATATTGTACTTTATTATGGACTTAGCCTTCTTAAAATGACCCGCGCATGACATCCTTTAGCTCCTGTATGCACTATGGCACCATATCCTGTTGGATCCCAACATTTATTCTGTTGAATAAAATAATTCGAAGTAGTCTGTATTCTGTCGAAACTGCCAGACGCGGATCGCGATTTCGATCTTTTTTGGTCTCATCAGCGCGCGCAGGCAGCTCCGACAGAACACAGACCAACTTTTACCTGCTGTCTTAACTGCGCGTTTTAGAATATACTACAAATGGCGCGGTAAACGCCATCTGTAGTAGTTCAGCAAGTAGATATCCATATATTTAAATGGACCTTGCTGAAGCATACGTAATCCTAAAATGTAGCACTGTACTACAGATGGCGTTTACAGCTCCATTTGTAGTATTTTCTATTTGTTGTGTTAATTCTTAGACGTGTCAATTCAGGGATCACAAAGTTTTCCGACATTGAAACATATCCCTCTTGCATCATATTGTAATTTCACTAAATTGTA